GTTTGTAAAGTATAAAATTAGGTTATTTATCTAACGGCCACTACGTATCTCAGTGTAACTTATTGTAATAAAGTTAAAGCTATGTACATACAATCTATACTAATATATAATAACTACTGGTTCGAATTGAAAAATTATTTTTGTGTTAGGTAGAGAATTTATCGAGGAAGGCTGTGAATAATAAGGAAGAATAAAGAATAATTCCTCTTTAAGTGATCAAAAAAAAAGTCCGCGACGCTATATGGTCTATCTTTTAAGATTAACTTGCAAGAACGACGGTGAGGGGGTTTGCAGCTAGCAATATTTATAATTATTATGTAATTAAGTTTACATATACCAGTTTTAATGTTCGACAAAGTTGTATCGTTCCATAGTATATTGCACACAATGGCATAAATTAAAAACCTATTTAGATTGAAAAAAGTGTGTTAGTTGCAGCGTGAAACATTGTACGTAATAGCAATTCAGATTCTCCCAATTTTTTGTATTGTTAAAAACACTAACAAAATCACAATAATAATTTACTAAGTTTTAACTTGTTTAGTAAAATTTAGTTTCGAATAAATTCAAGAATATTCCTCGCAATCTTGAAAATCAATACCTCGATTGTGGATAAAAAAAATCAGCATTCGTCCAAGTAACGTGTAGCAAAACGCTGCATTGTGTCGTCACTTACAAAGATGTGCTTCGAAGCAAATATTTTGACAAGCAATCTTGATAAAACATTAATAGTTACAGATCACTGTCATCTTAACCCAGTTAATTGCCGTGATAACATAATTTACGCTACAAATAAACTCTGATAATTAATGGAATATTCTTTCGTTTATCATTGTACGTGTTCCAATGTCTACTGTTTAATCGGCAATTATTTATTCGATATTTAAGTTCAAATAACCAAAACTATTGGTAACAAAGAGCTTCTTTCAGCTATTACAGCCTTTTTTTACTGATGGTGTGAATGCCTAATGCATGCCCACGTCGGGCAAGTGTGACGTGGGGAGTGTGGTAAATCGTATAGCCGACCAGAACCACTAAACACACCACCGGCCCTCTACGGTGCTTTGAGGGAGCCCTGGGAACACGTTTGTACGACTCCAAAGCTCCCAGCACCAATGCCTATTTTATACAAGGCGAAAGCGAGATTAGGGATGATCTTGGAGGTGCGCATAGCGTCGCCTCCTTGATCCCCATCTTGCCGCTCGCAGTTTGTCGTTAGACATCTCTCTTGCTTTGTCAGCCGCCTCCTTCTGCAGTATCACCAACTCGCAGAAGGTGGCGACCGCTTTACAGCCTAGTAAATTTAATCATAAATAATATGATGCATGGGAGATGTGTTTTGTTCGGATCAAATAATGTTTTTCAAACCGTTGTAACTATTGTATGGCCATTAAATAAAAATTTATAAGCTCAATAACATCTACGTCTTCCCTCATATACAAAGTAAAATGTGTGATGAATGAATTAAAAAACTCTGTTTGAACGACTGGTTTAAAAACAAAATTGATCTTAACGGGAATATCATAAACAATAAATAAAAATAAATATTAGTAGCCCGAAGAATAACGACTTATATCATAAGATGAAAATTTCAAAATAAAAATACGCTAAGTTTCATAATAAACCCTTCTACCTTTCCAATGACCTTTCCCTCCTTTCCACACATAGGCACACTCCCTATATCCACTTCGATCCCCATGAATATTCACTATCTCACGACACTGTCATCACACAATCCTGCACTGATACGTCAAAGCGCATGCGTGCGCGTCCGATCGCGTTACGACGAAAGTGTTCGGGCCGAGATAATACTGTGCGAAGTATGGCCAAGTGGAATAAGGTATTATCGATTGGAAAATTACATTAATCGGAGGGCTGAGAAAATATTTATGGAATTTAATTCTACTATTACATTAATTTAAAAGTAAAACCCTTTTTACCTCTTGGGGCATGGAGCGGACATTTCTGTCTTTGTATCACTGGTAATTTTATATACAGGCAAGTAGTTAAATCTGGCTTGAAACATTTTATTTTCCCAGGACTACAACCCAGGGCCTGTGCTTAACTCTAATATAAATACTAGATAGCTTATTTTACAATTACATAGCGCTTTTGGGTTTTTTTTCGATAATGCTCAGTTTTCATTTATTGTTTTATTATAATTTAAATGAGAAAGGAGATCATGGTTAAATATTTGCCTATTATTCATAAAAAACGAAGTCCACTCCTAACACATAAAAACATCTTGAACGACTTGGATACTAATTAAGATAAGTTATATTCTAGAATGTTCAAAAATATTTAATCCTTATTTTAAGAACATATTCGTAGAATTTTTTCTATTTAGAGATTAAAAACAGTATAAACAACACAAATTACACATAACGAATGTTTCATCATTTTTCTTCATAAGCTAAAATCTCGACGTAACGTCATGATAAACATTGCACACAAACATAACATGCAACTATGAATCTGCTAAGGTAACATCGAAGTGGATAAGTAAATATTTCTGCAACTTCAAAGTGCTAATAAATACTACATAACTTGTATAACGATATATATATTGCTGATATAGTAAACCGGTTGGATTTTTTGTTCTAAAATTCAAGTCGCTTTAAGGGTGCATAGACGATGTTAATCGTTTTCAAAACACGCCTTCAAAGCCAGAATAGGCCGACAACGTATCTTGTTTAGACGTTTTATGGGTGGGATATTTCACCTTCCATGGAAACCCATGCTTGTCTGTCTTCCTCTATCATAAAAAAAAAACGTTTTCCGTTTGACATGGGTTGAAATTTATTTTATTTAGTTTATTTAATTATTTAATACACATATATACAATTTAAAGACGGTCTCGCGTGATTAAAATGTGAATATACCTCTAATCGTTTGGTCGATACTGTTCGATATTTAAAATTTGTGCACCTACCCGCAAATATTTTAAGGACACCCAATGAGAACGTTTCTCGTAATTCGCTTCCGTTGCCGTACACAAAAATAGAACAATAAAATGGAGGCGAGTAAATAAGGGGCTATCTGGATGACGCATTAAATTATAGCTAAAGGTTATCTTTCCGACTCTGATCTCGCCCTTGAGGTCGCGCGCTATCAAAGACCAGCACTTTTATAATAACTGCTCACATACTAGCCACTGTGCCCCGATTCACGTGCAATTATAAATGTTGCTTGAAATAAAACAGTTTTATTAATTTTTTTTAATTACGGCCTGATGTTTCGGATGCTTAGCAGCCGTGGTCATATGGGTTAGAAAATTCAATTCGCGTTTGAAACCGTAAAAAATGTTTTTTATTTAAGTGTAGTTATTAATTTAGAATGAGTCACATGGGCTACTTCTAAGTAAAAGCTACCTCGGAAATAATAAAGACATACAAATGTTGTCAAATGGAAACGCCATAAACCGCATATAAAGCTAAAACGATATAATATAAATCTATTTTGGTATATCATTGTTTGTGGTGATAGAGGCAGTTAAAAACTAGACATGCCTTGATAAAACCGATTACAGAAAACCACGATATCGAAGCCGAATGTTTCATTATCCCAATCAATTAAATCTATATTATTTGTTGCTACACAAGTGTTATCGAGAAAGATATGGAGTAATGGGTGCGGTGGACACAATAAATGGACATCGTTAAATACTTTTTATATCACTCTTTGATTGGGTCAATTACACAAATAGGTACTGCAGGTATTTTGCTGCACAATTCAATTATGAATAGTTATTTTAGCTAGTTATTTATAGTATTCAACCGAATGCTTAGGGAGTTTTTGTTTATTTAGTATTGGTTATTGGTTATAAAAATGATTTAGCATGTTACTATACAAATACTCTGCCATTAGTTACATACTATACTAATATTATAAAGCTGAATTGTTTGTTTGTTTGAAAGCGATAATCTAAGGAATTAGTTCGAACCATTTATCGAGGAAGGTTATTGGCTATAAAACATCAGGCTTCGACCAATAGGAGTTAAGAAACAGTTGGCATTGTGCAAAAACGAGCAAAATATTTCATGTTTAAGGGCTTTCGTTGCAGGCGCTGCGACAACGGTTCGGGATGCCCAAAAAAATGTATAAAAAATAATAATTCTTCTTTCATTATGCTTTCAAAATTCCCAGGACAGCAGTATATGTCTATCTTTTAAGATTAACTTACAATAACCGTTTTTATGGTAATTAAAATTGGTCAAAATAACGTTTGCAAGGGCAGCTTGTTTGTACATTATTGTATTATATATGCCAAGGATTATGTACACTATTATTGACTATGCCTAATGACGAGCATGACTTTACTATCATTTGACTAAAAGTACGACAAATGCTATGTAAACTCAAACGCGACGCGTCGCCACTGTCTCGTGATACAAAATTTCTGCGAAACGCAGGAATTGCTTAGTGGGAGAGTCCGACCGGTTCGTGTCCGTTCATTTAGCACTCTTAGCGAGAGAGTGCTAATTAAGCCACGCCTTCAAGTAACGATTGGTTTCTACTATTCAAATGTTAAAAATGGGAAATGTCTATTTTTGTCTCATCATATTTAAATAGAGAAAAAATGTCTGTTTTCGTAAGTTTAGGTACAGGCTAAATATATACATAGAGAACATAGTTTACGATAATTATTACCTACATGAGCTAAACATATATATATATATGCTATATATATCACTAAATAGTATAAAACAAAGTCGTTTTTTCTGTCCCGCTATGTGTCTATGTACGCTTAAATCTTTAAAACTACGCCACGAATTTTGATACGTTTTTTTTTAACATATTAAGTAATTTAAGAGGAAGGTTTTTTAGTGTATTTAGTATCAGCATTGCATCCGCGCCCAGTTGCTATCGCTAGTACTTCATAATCGCATGGATATCGAATTGACCGCAACCTTTATAAATCCATATTGAGAGATGTTATCACTTTACCTGAAGCAGTTTATTTATGTAGGGTATGTCAAATTTAGTACAATTGGACATACCTGATAGGTGCTCCATTGGTGCATGAGATGCGTGTGGCAAGCTGCGCACGCGCGGACTGTACCCTGCGCATCTTTCGGCCTTGATCGCGGCGGGCGCGGGTGCTGCTCCCCGAAGATCGGAAAGTACGGCTGTTTACTCTGAAATTTAAAAACTAAATATATAATAAAAGAAATAACAAGTGTTTTATATGATACCAAGATTAGTGAAATTCTTTTTCTTCACGTAGGGCATGGGGCGAACACGTTTCTGTGTCCGTTAGACTAATATTCATCGATTTTATTTACAGGCAAGTAGTTCTCTGAGATTCGAACCTCTCGCGCTTAACGCAATGCTAGACAACACATGGAATCATTTAACTACGGAGGTGGTTGATTAGCCACCTACTAATTGAAAGCGAACATCTTTTTTTAAAGATTAATCATATTTTTATAAGCATTATACTAAAATATATAAGTACATAAACATTATAATTATTATACTTTTAAGAAAATCGCACGAAGTATCAAAAATAATTTAAAAAAATAAGCAACGAATAACGCATTAAATCATCTTGCATATCACGGCATAAATCGAAATGAGATTTTTTTATTTTCGGAATATAAAACCGTGGACAGTACGTGGAAAATATCGGCGTCACCAACGCCCGTATCCGCTTGCCAGATAGCCTCGGACCTCGACCCTCGACCCACAGATACATATCAGACACCTCTGACCAGCATTATCTGTTTATTTTTACGATTTATTATTTATTGCATTGATGTTCAGTTGTCATTAGGTCGCTTTGTAACACTCGTAATATATTTGGCCCCGATCTTTTGTGATTCAGGAGTCTGAGAAATGTTCCGATTCGAGGGCATAATTATAAAGCGATCTGTGATTGGTCAATCGCTTAATACTTCGACCAATAGGAAACGAGAATCGATTTTAAGCATGTGTTTTCTAATTCCGACATTCTTTGTCCACCTGTAATCTCAGTATCTTATCAAAATATTTATAAACTGTAGAACAAGTAAATTAAGTTTTTAGCGATCATTTTGCAAAGGTACTTATGGTGCAAGGTATTTGGCCATCGTCAGAAGATGTTCAGTACCTTAAAACTTCACTTCAAGAGTTAATTACTTCGATAACCCAAGGGGCTATGTAGGAAAAGTTTTTATACATTTTGTCTGATCTACACAAATTCAACTTTTAAATTAACTTTATAAGATCTAAGACGGCGGTTACCCCCTCCTAGCAAAATTCAGCCCTTGTTACATTTAGAAATGTTTTCTGTTTGATTATGAGTCACTCATTATATAGAAGTCACTGTAGCAACTAAACTTATTTTTATTCATGATTGCTTTTTATTTTTTCTTAAAGCAATACCTTAGACAATTTCTGCCCTGTTATATTCAGATTTTAATGGAACCATAGCATTCACGTACAAGAAATAAGGACAATGTTTTAATTAAGAATTATTCTTGATCTGAGGCCCTTTTTTACTGATGGTGTGAATGTATAAGGCCGCCCATGTCAGGAAATAGTGGCGTGGGAAGTGTGGTATATCGTACTGCAACCTACTCAGAGGCAAGAGTCGACCAGATCCGTTAAACACACCACCATCCCGCTACGGCTTTACAGGGTGCTTAGCACGTTTGTATGACTCTAAAGTTGTAGTCTGAGGCCCTAGATGTTAATCCACTTACACACTTGTCCTTCGGCGAATTGGTATGAAGGTTGACCAGGGCACCGCGTCTGTATTCATCACCGCACACGTAGCACACCTCCGTCATGCAGTTCTTGTCGGGCATCGATAGGTCTAAGATGTCGCGGTCCGAACTCGAGTTTGAATTGCCGGAGTATACGGATACAGTTGATCTGGAATTGCCAAAAGAGATTCATCATATATAACTAAAGTTTAGTGCAGGGGTTTAACCATTAACTACTGGGGCGGAGATCCGTCTCTGAGGTCTCGACAAAGTAAATACCTTCATCCTTGGGCGAAGACACAATCGTACTAAGTAGTTTTAAGGTAGTCTTAGTGATGTTTAAGTTAATTTTAAGCTAAAAATAATACCTAGATAAACAAAACAATATTTGATTTTGATCATATAAATTGACTTATCAATATAAAATAAGCAGATGAAAATACACAATTGTTTTGATGCACCTAGTTTTGTAATTTAAGTGAAAATCCACTTAGATGGGGAATGAGGTGGACACATTTTTGTGTCTGTTTAGCTGATTGCTCGGAAAGTATTAGATCAAACTTCTGAGACCCTGATTTCTATTCTCGTTATTGAAGGAATTAGTAAATAATAATTATTGTATATTTATATACCTGACAGCGTCCAAATAGCCTGCAGGTTCTGATGTTCCAGAATGCTGCGATCCGACCGATATCACAGATGGATCCCGTGCCCGGAGATCTAATACACCTTCTTCTTCAACACCAGCGCCGACTGGAAACCTCGTCTGAAATTGAAACAAAATAAATTTATTTTTATTGTGACACTTGTAGACATCAATACAGCAACGGGCCACGGAAAAAGGATTTTTTAGTTTGTTTAAGAGTATCTTCACATTCTCCAAACATTTACTTAGTACCCCTGGCTATGTAAAAGTTTGGGTTTCAATTGAATTATTGATAGTTTTTTTTTATAACTTAAAAATATCAACATACATTTAATGGTCATAATAAGGTAATGTAAATACCATACTTTATTTAATTTAAACTTTATTTAATAACACAATCAAAATTTACTCTTATATTGTTTTTTGTTCTAAGGAACTCTACTGTATAAATAGTAGTATAATAGCCAACTTTATGATTGTAGCATTTGAACAAAAACAATCAAAGATGTTCATTGAGAAACCTACCATCCTACTTAAGACAAAGAATGACAGTGGGCGCAAAACAAATAAATTCTTTGCGTGGTTACAGGCGTCAATGTGTATGCGATATAATATATGTATGGGTTACCTACCCGATTAACGTTGTTGAACTTGACATGGTTCTCTTTCTTGGGCGATGTTGTTCTTGCGGGCGCCTCGGCTAAGGGTCGCGAGGCAGGGCGAGGCGTGGTTGGTGCTGGTGCTGTGGGTGTATCGTCCCGAGCGTTCCCATCAGCCCCGAGTCCTAACACCTGCGCTGCGTATTCGCCTTGGAATGACATGTCAGCTCCTGAAATGTAAATGATAAGGTTTTAGTTAACATAACAGAGGCTAAATTTATAAAAAAACCACAGTTTGTCCACAGTTGTACCAAATCGTGGTGATTTAGAAAGAGAAATCCCGAACTTAAATACTGTCTGCAGTTTACGCGAGTAGTACACATTTAAATAAAACACTTTAACGGTTTATGTTAGTTAAAGTTATATTTTCATATAACTTTGACTAATATATATCGCGGTTTTAACCCGTAAAATATTTTATCTAAGAATACTTCTCAATTGATCGTGATTATGTTTCCACTGTGCGCGCCTTTTAATGAAATTAAGATTGCCAAGCGGTGTCTTGTGCATCCGATATAAACCCACATATATAGATTATTTATTTTTATTATTTGAATCCCAAACTTAGACAATATACTGACTATTAGATTATTATTATTATATATTCTTTATTGCACAAAAAATAAAAATATTACAAATTAAACTTATATATTAGAATGGAGAGCAATGGGGGGCCTTATCGCTAACAAGCGATCTCTTCCAGGCAACCTAAATTATTAGTATATGATAAAATGCATAGTCCATGAACAGATTGCTAAAAACTATTTAAAAATACATGATAATGAGTTTCCTTCAAGTAAAACAATAATATTGAATGCATTAATGTGGGCAACGCAAGTCGGGTCACGGTCAACGAGCGAATAGGTGAAAGTGAACAGCTGATTACTAAGTCGAGATACAGCGAGATAAATCACACGTGGCAGATCATTTATTGGGGCTTTCCTTTGAAATTCGTTGTTATAAAGCATTTTGCCAGATTCCTGAGTTCTTAATACTGGAATAAACCAATTTCGGTTGGAAAAGACACTATTTGTTTTAAAAAAAAATCACAGAAATATCCGCGCTCAACGAAAGGAGAATGATATTTCGCATTTGTCGTGTTGGTACTAAACTCATTTACAATACTATTCTTTTATGACAGACAAAAAATGTTTTGAAAGGAGAAATATAACCCCATAAAATCGATATAAGATATGCGGTCGACCCATCTTGGCTTTGAATATTCAGATAATGTGTAAGGAGTAAAGATATTTAATTATTACGCTGCATCGTAAGCGAATCCGGTTAGAATTGGCTACGCGTCTACCAGCGCCATGACTAATGTCCATTACAATATTATCCCGATGATTTGTTTTGTGAACTCGCCTGGGAAACAGTGCAATTGCATTGATTCTTATGAGAAATCATCCAATTTATCAAAACATATTTTTGTGTCCGTTTCGCAAACGATTTTAATTTAGATAATGTATGTTGTGGGGTTATAATACCTTAACGTATTTCTTTATAGATACATAGTACACTCGTTTTTTTTTAATAATTAATGAATAATCAGGAAAACGCATACGAAGCTGGGAGGCGTGTTAGCATTATGTAAACAAACCATCACATCGATCGTCTGTTCGCAACACACATTGTTTATCTAACAAAACCAAACAAGAGTGAACCAGAACACACTGCGCGGTGTTCCGTACATTTATAGAGTAGTGTTAGATTAAAATAGCAGTATATCTTATATATAATATTATCTTATATTCCAAATTCCTTCAATAAAAATTGTATTTGTATTACTTAGTACTGTTTTAATTGTAAGTACTTTGATCACATTATAAATGCGATAAACTAAAAATTCAACTGGACTTTTTTCTCCAACAAAAGGCAACAAATTTAAAAAGGAAGAATTATAGATCTTAACGGCCATTGTCTTAAGAGAAGAAGCCGATTAAAGCTATAAATATATTCAGTGTTGAAGAAGTCTTATATGGCAAAAATTATACGACCTCAGATTATACACTAAACTTTAGAGGTGTTTAGAGTGGTTAATGGGGAACCCTAAAAATGAAATAACAAATACTGTTTACATTTCACCCGGTGCCCGGGGATACCTTTTAACCGTTTCGCATTGATTGAATCCTGTTTACACGTACGGACAAACACGAGGCGTATGTAGCGTAGAAGTTTCAGGAAAGGTGAACACAAAGGAAGGTGACATGTTTATCGGCTCAGCAGTACATATTTGTTGAACGTTGAATACATTGTATTGTGTAAATCATGAAATTATTTATGTAATACATATATATATATATATATATATATATATATATATATATATATATATATATATATATATATATATATACATATATATATATATATATATATATTATGTACAGTTTTTAACGCCACTGCCCTATCACCATACAATCCTGTCGTGGTGTTTATAGTTTTGTTAATAATAACTGTTTTAATTTTTTTTTTAATGTAAAATTTTGTCCTGCAGAACAAAAACGGTTTAAACTGTGTTGTTTTTAAAATAGCTTACAGCATTATTGTATATTTTTTGGAATTTACGCGAATGGTGCACATTTAAATATTTTTTAAATGCAATGCCGAAAACATCGGGCTGGAGTTAATATAAATTGTAAATAAGTTAACAAATACATTTAAAAATCGAAAATAAATTGAAAAAAATTTCGACTCGGGCAGGACTTGAACCGGCATCGTCAGCTTTCCGTGCTGTTGCTCTACCAATTGAGCTACCGAGTCCTTACTACCGAATCGAAAATAAATTGAAAATTTTTTCAATTTATTTTCGATTTTTAAATTATATAGTGCCTTCATGTGCAGTAACATGTGAAAAATATTAATGTTTTCAAACATAACAAATACATTTCACGATTTAAACCGTTAAAAGTATTTTATTCCAATGCGTTGGTCTTTACATAGTGTTTTTGTTCTAAACTTTACGCTGCTGGTATTTTGACTTTGTTTTACGGAAGCAGGTCTAAACAAGATAGGTTTGAAGCCGGACAAAACCCAATCTGTAAATCGATAACGGAGTACCATATTACATAACAGCGAGGTAATTCAATATTCGGTCAAAAGATCAAACACGACAGAGATCGGCCGTATTGACATAAGGTCCGCGCAGCCATTGCAGAAGCGAAGTATCTATAGTCTCTAGTCTATCATGTATAATTATCGGGGCGCAGTTTTTCCATCGATACATTATTCATGGTGGGTCGTTATCCCGGGCACGTACTGTTGTGAGCTGGAATGCTGATTAACGACTGTCACCACTCAACAGACGATCTCTTGATACCTATGTGTACATTTGTATTGAATAAGCAGCCTAGCGGAATAGATATGTTTAGAAACTGACGTACGCATGACAGGCTTTTCGCGATATTGCTTGTTTGTTGTACGTTTAAACATCGTAGCTTTTATATCATGTGTATTAATAAAAAGGGGATTCAATACGTTAACTTTAGTCTAATCAATATCACTAGAATAACGTTATTTGGAATTTCGACATTCTTCTAACAAATGTATAATTTTTCTGGAACATATTAAATAGGTAGCCTAGTAGAAATATTGAAATTCTGTCCGGGTCACGAACCGCCGTCCTCAGATAAAAAAGCCGTGAAGCTAAATCGCGTTTCGATTTCGGTTCGTAAATTTCCGAATATCCAAAACCAAATTAGGTCAACAGTGCATCTTGTTTAAATGTTATATGTTAAATGTTATATTGTGAATCCCATGCTTATCTATCATCCTCTATCATTAAAAATAATAAGCTGGACGAATACATGCAGACTTATCAATCAATCCAGCTATATCGGAACCAGCTCATTCTACTTCACATAGTCCAACAGTCGCAGACAGCAAAAAGAAAAATCATTCTTCAAAAAGATAAAAACGTAATGTATTTACGATATGTGAAAACGTGTGAAATAGCGAGGCAGGAATAAGAGATAAAAATATCATTTCGGTGTAGACAGAGTGGGAGGGGTGATGTAGGCCTCCCGCGGGACAAGGGCGATAGACACTCGTTTAGATATTGAAATTCGCCTAAAAACGAATCAATGTTGTACGCCTATGAAATATTTATATTAGGACTTGATTTGGTATAGAAAATAACAAATTGATGTTACATTATATGGTTTGAAACGAGGTCTTGTTGTTTTGTATTGTATTCTATTAATTTTTATTTTGTATTTGAAACGATAAGTGTTTTATTGTTAAAATTAATGTATTATTTAATTTAACTAAATAGCTACAATTAGACTATGTATGTTTGGTATCGGTTGTATGCATAACATTTATTTTTTTTAACACGAAAAATACACGTATGTTTGAAACTTGGCACTATATAAATTAAAATTCGGATTAAAATAAATTTATGACTCAGGCAGACCTTAAACGGGCACCCACAGCGTTGCTTGCTGGTGGTCTATCCTAAGATTGAAACAACACAGCGCGAGAGGTGCATTGGGTTGAAAAACTTCGACGATGTCGATTCAGGAGGTTCAAATCCTGCCCGTGTGGTAAAAAAATTTCAATCTTAAATAAGGTTATTTAATGAATATGCAATGCTGTGGAGCTTGCAATGTATTTCTTTTAATGGCAGTCGCAGAAGGTGCTAGTATAAATAAACCGCTCGAATGCTAACACCGTGACTACAAGTGCACTTCAATTAATATGAAGCGAACATCAAATTCGCTCTTCTTTAAAAAAAGAACACTCTCGTCTCAATGGCCAAAATGTAGCCTTAAAATTCCGTGAAAAATAGTTTTATTTGCAGAGAAATTTCGCTTCAGAAAAATCTAAAACATTTTTCAACGTAACTCGAGGAGCCGTTTCCCGTGACCTATTTCGCAGACTTTCCTTAGTTTTTACTCTTACCGTAAAATACACGCTTTCAAATGAAATTCCCAGACATTTTTTTTGAGTCTGTGAGAATTTTTAAAACTACTAGAGGTGTTGCTCCGTTAAGATGTTTTTTTTTAATTGGAAAAGCCTTCGAGGAATTGTAAAGTCAACAAAGTTTATATGAAACCGTACTACTATTATTATATATTTCTTAAATTACATATCATAAGTATTTATTTATTTTCTTTGGAAACGAAACAAACAGTCACATACAAAACAATAGATTACTTAAAACCTTAAACAAATAGACCTAGTTTCACTTAATTATACATACTTGACATAAATACAACAAATCTATAACACAGTAAAATAAATATCTTAGGAACAAGACCAAGAAAGTAATAACAATAATTTTAAAACTACGACTTAAATATTAAATGAGATATACAAGTTTTATATTTAAAGATCCCACTAGAAAAAAAATATCGACTGAATTTAAATTTTTATTATAAAAATCACAGCTTCTTATAATGAAACTATTTTTCACGTAGTTAGTGCTCGCTATGGGAAACGTCTCCTAGATGCGGGGAGAAGAACGGGGGATTATTTAGTAACTTAAACTACAATAAATGAATTCACGCGTAACCTTATTATAAGATGGTATTCGCCATTATGTTGCATTCAGAATTGTATCTGTTATATTAATCAATTTAAATATACTAAAGGTTATCAACAAGTTCGTAGGCTGTGGCAAAAGTATGTCTTTTACCACAGCCTACGAACCCAGCTTCTTTAAGCATTGAGGCTACAAAACAAATGAAAAATCAAATCATATGCACGTAATACAGTATGTGTACGATAATATTATCAGCATCTATTTTCAAAATATTTATCGCATAAAGATTAGATTTGACACTTTATCACATAGCATATCATTTATCAAATTAAACGAATTTTGCTCTAAGCATGAGTAGCCCGTAAGACTTGTTACGATTTTTATCTTTATTAATTATCGACCTCAAATTATACAGGAGATTAAATATGCACATATTTGTTAAGCAATAGTTTCTAAAAGATTCTAAAAATGCATTTCTTTATCAATTCTGTATTTCTAATTGGTGGGTTTTTTTTTAACTATATATGCCAAACTACATCTGGTCTGCATAGAATAATTAATTATACGAAATGTTTAATTCATAATGATAAGGAATTCATTCCCTAAAACATATTATTGATACATGAAATGTGTATTATGCGCTGCAATGCTTTGAATGATTTTTAGCATAAAGACGTTTGTGGGTTCGAGTACCGGTAGAGATCGTGCATTTTCGTCAGGTAAAACTTACGACTTTAATAGATTTTTGCTGTAAAATTAGGTGCATTGAAAATAATAAAGGTTTTAAATTGAATTTGACAATAAAATTTAAATTTATTTGAAACGACGAAAAATATAAACTTCGTCTCATCTTTTAAAAAATCCTTTTACAGAAACTATCGTTATATTTTCGGATACAACTCTGCAACAAAAATGTTGTGGAATATCTTTCACTCTCAGAGAATTACGATAAATTGCAGAGTACCTAACCAAAGGATTTTGCTTGCGAAAAATTTATCGGACATTTTGAAAATGGAAATATCATGGGTCCAGAGAGAAAGGAACTGAATTTATAAAATCCTTACAATAACTGAAACATACAATACAAAATATTACAGGAAGTAATAGTCGATATAAACTGATTTTCGTTACATAAAGCTCTAGGCGTCCTAGTTTGTTCCTTTAAACTAATGTGTAAAATGTAATATAATTTAATAATAAAAAAGGCTTCCGTTTCATTAACTAGATAGACTAATTTCCTAGATAGATTTTTTCTCATTAATATGTATTTTCTGTGGTGTGTTTTATAAATAATAAAGCAATAATAAATAAATAAATAATTTCATTTCACTACCTGTTACTACTTTTTTATCCGAACCAAAACGTCTCTTTTAACGTTTGAGATAGGCTCATATAAGGTTTTTTTTATCGTTTTCAGTATTTGTCGCTACAAGAGCAAATAAAATACACGATTAATGAAAATTTTAACTCGATAGCTGCCAAGGTGCTTAAAATAGAGCATGGCTTAGTATCACAGTCCTATTTTAGTTATATGTTTATGGAACCCGAGAATAGAGCTTCATAGCAAGATTTTTTAGCGCTTAGGCTCGGGGGCAGTATCGACAGTTTAAACTTACTCGTACGTCGAACCGATATTGATCGCAAAACGAACACCATAATACGTCCATTAGGCGCGGAGCTTCACGGGCCGACATGGTATAGCTACAGCGAATCACAAGGGAACAGATACATGAGTTGTAGGCATATAATACATAGGCTTGTAATTACTGTACTATATAATATGGTCAATCAATATTGAAGAATCCTCAAATAATTCAGCACGAAACCAGAATTATTACATTACGTATCCTTGCTAAGCATTTTCTTCAAACGTCCTGGCTTAGAATAAAACGCATTATGTTAAAGCTCATTCAGCTCTTTAGCTTAGGTATAAGAGTACTTAAATGCTTACCTATAAAAGGCTTTCCATCGAGCCGCTTCATCCAATAAAACCTCTGCGTGTGCGGCTTGTTCTCGCGGTCGTATTGCTCCCATTGCGAGCGCAGAAACGTGTAACAGACGCAGCAGCATTTTACAGTGCCTTCTTCATCACCTTCGCTCCGATAGCCCGTCGGTGGTGCGTGCCCCCCGAGGAACGGGAAGTACGGCTCGGTCGTCTGTGAACGATCACGTCTAAACTAAGAAAGGTTCTATATTACAAAATTTTGTAAGAAATACAAATATTAAAGAAATTTGCGATGTTTTTAAACACAATTTGGCTGTGCTTTATTCGTTTCGAACTACAAACATGATTATTATTCCAAAATTAGTTGTAAACAATATTATAAATTGTATACCTGTCTGTAGTTTACGCGAGTACATTAAAAAAAAAACACTTAAGCGGTTTAAAACGCGATATATATTAGTAAAATTCTGCAGTTTTTTCAGTTTCGCCAAATACCAACGTCGACGGAACAGATGGCTTAACAGTTTTTAATTTTTGCCGTCAGAGACATTCTTCATCTTTAGTCTCCCCGTTACCACGGCTGCTGCAAACCATCCGAAACATCAGGCCATATATATCGCGTTTAAAACCGTTAAAGTATTTCATTTAAATTTATACCTTTTCAGGTCTATAACAGTTCTAATAATTTCGATATAACAGCTCGTCTGCTCGTCCAATCCAAGAACAATCAGAGCATAATCAGATGTCGCCAAATAAATTGCTGAGCAAAACCAATTCATTTGGGGGTCGCGCGACGTCAAACGGACCAAATTGTTTGGGTCAAAAAGTCAATTGTTTTATGCGTCCCGACCATTGAGAACCGGTACGAGGCGGTTGTCAGAGGTTTGAGACGATCGTGCATATTATTGTTATTAGCGACAAATTCAATGTTCGATATCGGTCAAGGATCTATCATCAATGACTCCAGTTGGCAGCAGTTCATCAGGAAAAACAGTGGCAATTATTTTCCTTTATGCAGAAAGTAAATTCGTGCGGTTTGAAAAACAACGCTTTTTGTCAACCACACGCTAAAAAATAACGGCCTCGCTTTTAGCACGGCTTAAAGTTGAATCTATTAGAACCCTCTTTGATGTTTAAATATTTCCTTCAGCGTCGCAAAAATTAGCTATTCGATTGTTTAACTACAGTTTTATGTTAATTGAATTTGTATGAAATTCTGTTAGTTATATCAAAATGTAATAATTATGTGGAGGTTAATTCTGTTTTGGGATACGAACCCACGATTGACGACGAATGCAGGCCACGCTATCACTATTATTACGAAACAAGGACTAACTCTGAAACCTGGTTTAAACACTAGTTTATTTAAAATCCTAATTACAAAACGAAGTTTAACGTTTGTACTGGACTAAGTATGGTACTAACTTAGATACATTTAGACCATGGTTTAGGAGTTAAACCAAGACTCCGCAGTTCTGGTTAATGTATTTTTTTGTAATAAGGTTTTGTACGTCGCTGCGGTCCTGAGTCGTAATTCATAGATGGTTTCAATTTATAGAATACAAACTAAGGTAATAATATGTTAAATATGCAATTAATACAAATATATGGCAGAACAAGCTTTCATTGTTCCCAGTGTAATAAAAGTACTTCGCTATTGTTAAATATTGAATTCATTAGTTTAACGAAGCAATGCGAATAACAAATACTTCAGATATATAGTAATGAGTATCAGATTGTAGACGCAGCGCGGTTAGGAAAGATTTTAATATAAAGTAATGGTAAAAATGTAGTTTCACTGTAATATTCTAAGCCAACCTGAGGATCCGGCTTCACCCTGATGCTAAAATAATCGCTGAACCCCGTCCCACCGCATACGAAGCAGACGCGCTCGTCGTTGGTGGGTTCGCGAGCGGCGGGCGTAGCAGGCGCGGAAGCGGGTGCGCTGGCGGGTGCCGGTGAAACTGGCGACTTGCCCGGTCCGGGCGTGGTGTTGCCGTTGTTAGCGGTGCCGTTGGTCGCCGGGGGGCTCGGGTTCGGCCCCCCGCTCGTATTCAACGAGCTCTTTATGTACGCTTTCGCTTTTTCCATCTTCGCGAAACTGTAACAAAAGACATTCATATTAATTACAGAACTATCTATTCTATCTACCCGTGGCCACAGGGGTTACGGGTGCCGAAACGTCGAACCGTAGTTTAATTAATTTACAAATAAGTATAAGTAATATATATCGCGTTTTAAACTGTTAGTGTTTTATCTAGTACTCGCGTAAACAACAGTCAGTATTTACTTGTTAAACTATATTATTTTACTAATGAATATAAGGAATACATCATTTTATTTTTCGATTTCAGTAAAAGGCAGGAAGCATAAAATATGTTATCAATGAGAGATTGATAACTTCAAATGAACGTTACGTAAAATGTTGTGTAAATTTAATTGAAAATACATATACCTTATTTCTGCAACACCTACTAAATTCGGAAAGAAATTATTGGTCACGCACTCTACTATATCGTATTCATAAAATAGTAAGCTGCCTAGAATCATCACCAGTATGTACACGACACAAACCCCTAAGCTTTTCAATGTAGACTCTACCTAAGTATATTTCAATAAATATACTTTATACCGAAAGGCGCCTTATATCTGTCTAGTAAGGTTCATTTTGACTTTAACAGCCACATTAAGTTTAGTACACACGAACAGTTTTATATGAATCGCTGTCCCTGTGAATTCTTGCCTTATTAAGGTAATGAACGAGGTTTTATTCTATACTACACGGAGTCCGTAAGAAACCAAACAACATGTTAACGTACCAATTTATGTACTACAGAACTTTTAGTGCGTTCTGAACGAAACTCTCTAATAAATAAATGGCTGCGTCATAACAACCGCTTGTGAACAATCACCCTAGTTTAAAGCCTTCAATTAGTAACGCGTGTCTGTCTTATAGGGTTGCTGGCGATTCAAAATTGAGACTGATTGCCATTGTTATTATGTCCTAATTGTAATTTAATAGTTCTGCGGCAGGAAATGTGAGTATACATTGATAGAAATCGTGATTGACATATTTACTCCTTACTTGCTGAGTAATACTTTTGAGGTACCTATATTAAAAAATTCTTATAGATATATAACTAAACATATTATACGTTATTTTTACTACAAAATTAGTCACTTTTAATATCAGTCGTAACTTGGAACTGTTTGTAATTTACAATTTTAAACCTACCTACTTACTACATTTTTTTAATGATAGTGGAGTACAGACAAGTGTGGAGTTCTAAGTAAGATGTGCTTTCGACTTTGGATTTCCGGAAATCGACAGACTGAAACCGAAACGCGATTAAATTTCACGGTTTTTTTTCTCTATGGAGGGTGGTTCAACATATTTCAGAAAAATTATAAATTGAAACACGAGAAACTTGTTGGACCCTTGTTGTTTATTGCCTTACATTGCTACCATTACACCAATGAGCCCATCGATAAATATCTAACTTATTGAATTTATTTAATAATTTTCTGCAACCCTACTAATAACCAACGAATACGATGTATAGATAGAGCTACACTGATGATCTGTTTCTATCCCCAAATGTAATTTGCGTAGGGTTGTCAGCAGCGGGGTGCGCAAGTCGGCTTGACGCAGCGAAATGCATGGATTTATCAGTCCGATTGCCATTTTTGTCTACCTATATTAATATGTGAGGTCGCCTAACCTTTTAAAGTGATTGGGATTAACGTTGATACAAAAAACGGCGTCTGAATAAAAAGAGAAGTCAACAGGCAATGTCTGTTTCAAATTCAATACGATACAACGATTCTAAATAACTAGAGACGCGGCGCTTAACGTTTGTAGCTTGCCTAAGTGATGGAAGGAGACAAGAGCACTCGTCTATAATATACTATTGTTATCGACGTGACTTACGCCACTTATAGGAAACCGCAGCTTTACGGATTTGAACTGTCTAAATGTTATACACGACAAATCCCTCGAAACGTACACAACCAGGGTCCCAAATGCTATATAAGCCGTTATCAATGAATCAATAATGCTTATCGCTCTATCGATCATACGATGCCGTTGCCCTCCGAAGACCACCGTTTTCATTTACAGAATGATATTCTCTTTCATTCAATAGCTTGGCATTTTCGAAGGCTGTCATCTAAGGTAAAATAGGTACGTTATTAAATTTGCCGTCGAAATTAAAAATTATTATTAAAACTTACTTGAAACACTTTTATTACGTTTATTGCTACATTTTAAATCGATTATGGGTTTAAAAAATGCAAGTAAGACCGCAGAACTCGATGGCTTAGTTGGTCAGAGTAAAAACATGGTTCGAGACCCGCCCACGACAACAAATTGTACAATTTGCAATAGAAGAGTTTACTATGCATAACTATGCACTGAATATATCTCTTGCTAGACGCGTTTGTCTATTTACGCAACCGGACACTTCAAATCGGATGGACAAGATCGCTTGGCAATCTTCATTTCATTGAAAGGCGCACAGTGCACATGTAATTACAAACTGTTCAAAAGGATTTTTAATCTAAAACACAAAATGGGATATTGGTAAAAAACGCAGCAGTTTATAATCTTAAGTTTTTTTTTTTAATAATATAAGCTATCGTGCATTTGCAATCTGCGTTAATATAGTATTATAAAGACGCAAGTAATGTTATTGGTCACGACTTGAAGTATTAATGATACTTGTGTTTACCAACAACTTAATTTACACCGAGTAACTGCGAATCGTGAATAATCTACAAGGTACAGAATAAGAGGTTCTATTTAATAATAACCATTGTCAACAATGTTCATCAATTAAACATCGAACGGTAGAAACAGATAGAATTGCCACCAGAAGGCATATAACTAAGTCATTACTAAATTGTTGAACGTTCGCCAGTACTGCACTGCATTATAAGTGGCCTAACCGAGTAACCGCCTGTGACACCGAAGTGTAAGTAACCCAAATTGTTTTAGCATATACATAATATTCTATATATGAACATTATTCATAGAAACCCTAGATATAAAACTGATGTAACATCAATTGTGTAAGCAATTTTTTCCTGCTGGACAAGCTCGAAACCACTACTTATAATGAGATGATATTTTACGGCTGATGTAATGTTAAACTCCTTTTTAATATGAAACTTACGCGTTACACGTAAAGATAGAAATGAATTGTTGCATGAATTAATGCATTACGCTTCTATGTACAAAAGGACCGCATATGCAATGGTGCCAAGAGAATTCGATTAGCGGTCGGTATGCGGGTCGCTCGGCACGATGTGTAACCGGTTCCAAGCGGATTGGTTATGTAACGCTTGGCCAATGTCGCGCGCTCGTGCTCTGTTAGATATTGGTGTGATATATTGCCAAACAATTAGTGGGAATATCCATTTTTGTAGGTATTGGGGACACTTAGCGGGACTTCTGTATGACTCAGGCCTGCTCACGTCTGAAAGATCTGAATAATAAATGGGTGATAGAAATATTGAACTCCTATTTGACTCACATACCACCAATGGAAAAGCAGCGATGTTCAAACTAGGCGAAAACCCATCTGTGAATTTTTCATTGGCCATTGTAGGTGGAAAGCGCGTCTTAACTAGATGCTTCCCTATCTCTTTTTCTAATAAAAGCAGGAGTAACTAAACAGAATTAGGTTAACATGAAGAAGTACTTGTAGACTTTAATATATATCTTATATACATGAAAAAGCAGTTATTTCTGGTGACACTGATGACTTCTTAAAATAGAACCAATTTCTATCTAAAAATACATGTACCCATCTAATAAGTCTGTGCGAGGGAACCGCCATGCTTCATGTTTGTTTACGTGTGTTTATGTTGCGCGAATATTGACGTCCATTACGTGCTATTGACGTGCCTTCGTACATAGGGCTGCCTATTCACAACTGGCGGTGTAAATTATTGTGGCGTAGTAAAATTTATGTGCTAATCCATTTCCTATTTATAGAGATCATTCTCTACATACACATGTGGATAAATAAATAGGTCATTTTTTTTACTTTTTAAATAGGTCAATAGATTATACATATGTACGTATTTTTAAAACCACTATAACTTTGATTAAATCATTTTGAAATAAAACATTTCACTCTTTTTACGAAATATCTATGACGAAATGTTTTTAATATTAAATGTTATCACGGTGACAATAAAATTGATATCTCTATTTTATGTTTTTAATCACCAGTTTGTACTTTACTGTACGGTACTGGATCTTAATATCTGTTAATCTTTCTTATATCATATAATATTAGTAGGTATCAGGAAGATTCGTTGCTGCAGGGTAGACCCATTTCTATGTACATTTTACAAGTACGGTTTAAAATCTTTATTTCTCAGAAATTAACATTACCATTTACATTATTAATCACACCCAAAATTAGATACCTAATAAAATGAAGTACTTCCATAATATTAGCAAGTGTAGATACGCGCGCACCCCAACTCCGTAGCAATACAATCCACGCTCTGTTCGAGTATGTTTTTATTGCTCTTGAAATTTTCATTGGGGGAAATTAATATTTTCCTAATTTGCCTGGGGAAGTGGATGATATTTTCTTAGCTGTGAGAGAGCAGATGATTGAAATTATCTACAATTTACGTACTTGACATACATGTTATGAATGTGTTATTGCCAATATGATGAAGTAAATACTTCTAACCAAAACATTGATGACATAATAAACAAACTTAATCCGTTTAAATAAAACACTTTAACGGTTTAAAAAGCGATATATATTAGTTAAACTTATTAGAGAATTATTTTTATTTTTTACTTCGGCCCGACGTTTCCGATGCTTTGCAGCCGTGGTCACGGAGAAACGTAACGTCAGTTGAAATGTACTACTCGCGTAAACTACAGACAGTATTTACAACTTAAAGATCTCATGCAAAAGGTGATTTAAGTACACGAACATTCTTTTGGTAAGCTTATCGATCAAGCTAGATACGGCTGTTACATAATTAATCACTCATTACAGCACTAAGTAATAAAAATACAGTAATAAAAAGCCTCCGAATGCGAATCGGACTCGCACTGA